TGCAGTTCTTTTATGTGCTTTTTTGTTAGTGCTTATTTGTCTAAGTCCGGCCAGACCGACGGGGACGGGAGCACTGCTCTGGCCATTTTATTTTTATTTGTTTTTTTTTCCTATTTTTTTAAANACTGCTCTGGCCATTTTATTTTTATTTGTTTTTTTTTCCTTATTTTTTAAAAGTTGTTCTAAATTAATTAACTCAAAGGGGCTCTTCTTTCACAAAAATCTAACTTAAATGAGTTTCTCAATGATATTCTTATTTCACAGGAAAAACTAAACTCCATTTTCTCACACATATTCTTACTGCACTGAAAAAAATTCTAAATTCTAAAGTGTCTCAATCATTCACCGCAATGCTTGAGAAATCTAGCTGGCCTGGAACACCCTTTTTGGGACCCCGAGACCCCCCCCCCGGAGCCGCCCCCCCTTACCCCGACCCCCCTATGACCTGCTACTGGACAGACCCCACCCTCCTGCGAAGGTTTCAGGTTGATATCTCCAACAGTGTCCGAATGCATAGCATCAGATGGACAGAGACAGAGATCCTTGCTTATAGATATAGATATATGGTGAGGCATATATGTCACACCTGATAAGATACATGACCATATCAGATGTGAAACATACATGAAATCATGACACTTGCAAGTCTCTCCAAAATGTCAAGAATAACTTCTGGAACTAAGTTGAGAATTGGCACTGCATCTGTTACTCCTGTGAAAATACAAAAACCATCCACTAATTTACTGAAAATGAAACATGTTAGATTAAGTGAACAATCATATCAATTATATCCATATCAATTTCAAGTTGTACCATCAATCAGGATCTGTCAATTAGTATTTCCAATCGGGGAAGAAGAAATTGAAAGTAAAATCACAGCAGTTTCTTCACATCCCTGCCACTCAGAATTGGTTTAATACATACTTCATAATGGGAATCATGAGATTGGCCTGATTGTGTTTAAACCCTGAGTGTGCCCTACTTGTTTTCAAGTCCTACAGTTCCATAAGTGTACAGTGTATTAACATATACAGCCTTTCAAAACGTGGCATAAATAATTAAGTAATGTATGGCTTACTTCATAAGGAATTGCATGCAAGCCATTATGCAGCATTACAACCACCATTAAAAAGAGCAGCAAAACCTTTCCAGCATGAAGCATGCAGTACTTGTAAATTTTATATGGAAAGGCACAAAGTAATTGTTTTTCATACCATGGCCATACCATCTAAATTATATATCCCATATGCATATGGTACAATATACATATCCAGCAACACATACGAGGGTCACTCAATAAGTTATCTACCTGAATAAGAAAGAAACATCTGAGGGGAAAGAAGTTGCGTACTTATAAATTATTATCGATGGAATACCAAATAAAGAAATGCTTTAGAAATGCTCCTCTTTCGGGCAAGGGCGCCAAGAAGACCAAGCGCGAAACTGAGGAATGCCTGAAGNAAATTTTTTATGGTGGTAGCATAGGAATCGCCAGTGATTGTACACTCGTCTGGCATGAACTCAAGCAGCAATAGTCCCTCGCCGTCCCAAAACACAGTGGCCATAATATTTCCTGAAGATTTCTGAACACGAAATTTGCAAGGGGTTTTCAATCCCTTGTGCTTCCACTGCATGGACTCCTGCTTAGTTTCAGGATCCCAGTGATGAACCCAAGTTTCATCACCAGTTACTATTCTGGGAAAAAACTTTTCCCCAATTTGTTTAGAAAACTCTAAGTTTTCCTTGCAGATGTCAGATCTGTTCTTCTTCTGAGCTGGAGTCAGCATTCTTGGGACCATCGAGAACTGACTTTGGGCATGTGTAATTTTTCATGAATAATGTGAATCACTGTGCCCTCTGAAATCCCCAGTTCATGAGCTAAACTGACTTTGGTGCGATGATCCTCCAGTATCGCACTCTCCAATTTGTCACACATTTCCTGATCAGAAGCCTCCACAGGGCGCCCCGACCTTGGGTCATCTTCGATTGACTCTCTTCCCCACTTAAACTGCTTGCTCCAAAATTTAACTTGGTAATAAGAAGGCGAAGACACACCATAAACGTTAGACATACGTTCATGAATCTCCTTAGGTGCTTTCCCTTCTTTGGTGAGGAATTTGATCACTGACGATGTTCAACTTTCATCAAATCCATGACACAGACTCGGGAAAAAAAAAATTAATGCACTACCACTTTGAATGGACTTGAGCCACTGAGCTGGTATAGTGGTGGAGCACTCACGAGACCTGTCGAGACATGTCACAGCAGGCACAGGCCTGTTGCTCATCCCTTTCATATTCAGGTAGATAACTTATTGAGTGGCCCTCGTATTTTTTAAATGAAAGCATGCATGCTGAGTGTGTATTCACAATATGTGAAAGTTCCTCATAAAAACCATATATTTAAACTAGGTGTATCATATATGCAGGAGTCCATCCGTCGAATTGTGTAATTCTTTTGTACATAACATATATACTGCTCTGGTATGTTTAATATATGAATAATCCTTACATGAATCATATGCTCCAACCATATATGCCTGTATATATGTGCATGCATATTTCAATACATGATAAATATATAAAATTATAAGGCACAGATAATTCCATATAATTACCATATATGGTCTTTCCGTTTGTGTTTATTTTTTCTTCAAACCTATTAAAGATGTTGAGGTGGCAATTAACATGTTAGGTGATGGTTAGGTCTACATGGTGGTTTATGATTCTGATGTGAATGAAAGAATGAGGAAAATGAAACATCCATTACTTTTTCTCATGTTTACTAGGCATTTTTATTATGCTAGTTGTGCTTGAATAGAACATGTGGTGGTATGGTGACACCAACCTTTATGAGGTGTAGGTTTGAATCCCACCACTGCCACCAATTTTTTTCATAGGTTTGGTATTATTCTTAAGGTTGCTCTTCAGAGACTTTGTTAAAAATTATGATTTGGGAAGAGAAAGAAAGGACTGATTCCCTCAGCAATAAGATCTCTGGTTAGTGCAGTGGGCAATTTGGAGACAGATGGAATTCACCACAGAAACATAAATGAAAGGGTTGGAAAATTTTGGAAGTATTAGAAACAGAACTCCTGTTGCTTTCTTAATTATTTTCTACCAACTGAAGTATTGTACCTGGTGTAGTCTGGGGTAATTCAATATTTATATATTTCATGCATGACAAATTGGGAAATGTTAGCCTTATGGTTTCCTATAAGTTACCAATCTCGGGTGTTGCAAAATGCTCTAGGCTGCCCTGTCTCAGCCCATTGTGAAACATATTTTCAATGAAAACTTGATCAAAAGAATATTACTTACTACTGATCAAAAGAATATTACTTACTACCTACTGTAGTGATGCAGCAATGGGATTACCCCACAGTGCAGTAATGTAGGTGGCTGGGATGGGAGAGTTGGATGGTATGAGAGGACGAAAAAAAGGCAGGGGAAGGCCAGGAATCAAACCTGGGCCTCCTGATCATTGGTCAGGCATGCTACCACTGCACCACTGAATCCAGGAGTCAGTCGTTCCTCTCAATCTCATCAAAGTGAAAATTTTGGATGAAAACACCTTTCAACCTTCCCCTGGATGAAAGAGGAGGCCATGCAAAGTTTGGTCGCACTGGCTCCTGCAGGGTCTGAATGTATAAAGGAGCAGACAGATGGACAAACTTTCTTCTTTATATATATAATATATATATATAGAGGTGCAAGGCCATCCTCTGGCTTGAGTTCCCTTGTCCTGTCTAGTACAGGTACATGATATAAGAGTACCATCGTAACCATCTCTCGGCAACCTTGCATGTTACTTCACCGCGGGTCAATAACCCACTCCAAAATTTCCCTATCTATATAATATAGAGAGAGAGAGAGAGAGAGAGAGATGAAACCCTTTGGTCTTAATCATTTTGGCAATCCACAAAGAAGAAAAACTCACTGTGGCATCATGAAATAAATTTAAAAAAATGATTGCCTGCATTTGATCAACAAATATTTTTCCCTGTTTTGTAGAATCTGTGAAGAAAAAAATAATATGGAATATTGTATATACTGAGAAATATTAGTATTCTGGCATTGTATAGCCTATGGTTCAGGTGATTACCTTTACTAAGGCTTTGAGAAAGGTAAACATCTATGTAAGATGTCCAGTACTACCAATCTCACTTGAAAAGGGAGCAAAATTCCATAAGTTGGATACACATATGTATCCAACTTAAGCAATTTTGAATTTATACAGTGCACATGTGCACTGTGTGAATACCCATACCATGAAGTAGGGCAGCAGTTCCCAGATGTCTTTGAATTGCAACCCACTTGCTGACGTTCAGAAAATTTCACGACCCACCAGAATCCAGAAAAAGATATTTTCAAATTAATCATAATGTGAGGAAAACTGATACACCTTTTCTGCAGGGCATATTTTATCCTGAGCAGATGCAGATATAGTGATTTTTTATATTGGGAAAATGTACATGACCCATAGTTTGGGAACTGCTGAAGTAGGGGAAGTAGCAACCCCTAAAAGATCTTGCTGTTTTCTTAAATGTTCATCCTTCCTCAGATCTGTTGTTTATTGACTACTTTCTTGAATTGAATGAGCAATCCCTTGAAAGTCTACTTGAGATTGATACCTTGCCCTTTTGCTAATGGCAGGAATACAAGGAAAAGCTTTAACACCCACCAGCATACAGTCAGAAGTTCTTTTAGCCCTTGTTCATGTACCTTTGGCTTTTGTCTCAATTACAAATTGGTCAACAATTAGTGAACAATGTGTTAACATTCACTTCTCAATATGGCAGTTCAATGCAATTTTCCACTGGGGCTGACCACTTTGTATATTGATTTTCTAGCAAATATTAAGCCAACTGATGTATTGGAGACCCAACTAATACTTTAAAATCACTGAATTTAGAATGCCATGGACAGTATTAGTATGCCAGTGTGTGGATGTTAATAACGTTCTGAGTTTTTCATGGAGGTTAGTTATACATTTTTCTCTAGAAGGTGATATTTTCAAATTTTCTCTGTAATTTCAGGATCAAAGAATTCCAGCTGATGTTGTGTTGTTGAGAACATCCGAGAAGAGCGGAACTTGCTTCATTAGAACTGATCAACTCGATGGGGAAACTGACTGGAAGTTACGCTTGCCCATTCAAAGCACACAAAAGTTGGAAGATGATCATGAAGTGTTTGAAATTGATGCCAGGGTATATGCTGAGAAGCCCCAAAAAGACATCCATAGCTTCATTGGACGCTTTACCAGTGTGAGTGGTCTCATTCTGCTATAACCTGTGTATAATATGAAAAAAAAATTGTATTTTTCTTATACTCCCTTGTTTTCTAGGAATCTGAAGGGTGTGAATCCCTGAGCCTTGAAAATACTATGTGGGCAAACACTGTTTTGGCTCATGGTACTGCTCTGGGCTTAGTCATCTATACAGGTGTTGAAACCAAGTCTGTCATGAACAACTCCATGCCTCGCAACAAAATGGGCCTTATCGACCTTGAGCTCAATAATCTCACAAAAGTGCGTTTGAGTTGGTACGCATGAATATAATTTGAATGCCAACTTCAACAATTGTAAAAGTCATCATCCTTATCTTCTAGGTGTTATTTGTAGCCGTGATGATCTTGTCCTTGACAATGATCTCCTTGAAGGGCTTTCAGACACACTGGTACATCCATCTGTTCAGATTCTTCCTTCTCTTCTCATACATCATTCCATTGAGGTGAATCTTATGTACTTTATTCTTCATGTACTGTATATTCCAAAGGCTTGCAAAAATTATGAGTATTGGGAGTGTAGGCAGCCATATTGCAGGGTGGGCCAAAAAATATTTGGGAGATCTGTTACACCTCACTGCTCAGTTTTTCAGGAGTTAGCTAAAATCATGACAGCTTCTCTTTATAGAACATTCGTTCAGCTTTTCCCAGGTGTCAACAGATTTCAGATCCATGCCATGATTTTCATGCAGTTACATGAAGCTTATAATTCAATGCATGCAAGTGGTCACCAATTGATCTTAATGCATTGATTGCTTGTGGTGTACTCTTAATGGACCTTACTTAGGTGGGAAAATTGACTTATAGAGTATTGTTGCAAGCAGCATGCCTTGAGTGACATTAAGAATGGGTTTTTGCAGATTAGTGTGTTTTCAGGTTCTAAGTTGAAGAGCATAAGCTTGGCCACTTTGGCATGAAAGATCTACTGCAGAACCTCTGTGATATGTTTGGCAAAAAACCAATAGGAGATCTGGCCATCTCAGATTTGCTGGAGATACTAGTGAGGTATGCTGAAGTTACGAACTGGAATTCGAAAAACTCTGAGAGACTCATGTTTGCTGGGACAGACTGAAACATCGAATGAATCAGAAACGTTGTTTCTGATTCACAAATTCATGATTCTGTCATGCTAACGAATTATGTGCAAACAACAGCAGCTGCTTCCTTATAGGGTCTCTGTGCATCAGAAAGTGACCTGACTCACTCGACAATTAGTTCTCTCTTCAGAAACATCACTGGAGAAAAAGTTTCAGGCATCGAGAGTCTTTGAATAATGTTTTGTTGATAGAATAATGTCTCATTGTTGAATGCCATTTGACACTTTCTTCTATATGGATGTATCTGTTCTGATATGCTATCTTTTGGGGCAAGGCTTGGAAAAATTGAAGCAGAAAATACCTCACCCCTTCTGAGGTCTAGACCTTGAAACTGTCACTAAAGTTGCAGGCAACATTCTAACAAGATTGCCAGGGCATGGATATCATTGGTTCTTGTCTGAAGGGGTGCTGCTAAGTAAGTGCTACATCTGATACACTTGCTGTAAAGGTATGAAAAGTACAGCTTGGACCATATGTCTTTTGACACCAGTGGGATGCTATATATATTCTCTATGTAGAGACTCTATTATAATATCAAATTATCCAGAAACTGTGCTGTGAAGTATGACAGATCCCCCCAATTTTTTTTTTTTTCAGTTCAGCTATGCATTACCATGAAATTAGAATCTTTCCCCATCATGGAGATTTATTGTTTGCTCGTTGGGGAATTTCAGCAGAGCTTCACTTCTGAAATTGGGTTTTTCCTTAGCTTGAGGGTGAATTTGGATGTGGGAAAGCTGTATTATTCTTCCCTGATCCAATGGGACAAAGAGATCCCTGGAACTGTGGTGAGATCCACAACAATCCCAGAAGAATTGGGTCGCATTGGCTATCTTCTAACAGATAAAACAGGAACACTCACATGCAACGAGATGGTGTTCAAAAAACTGCATATTGGAATTGCTTGTTATTCTGTGAACAATTTTGAAGAGGTGAGCTCCAAGTTTATCATTATCAAGTTTTATAATATGCATGCATCAGGTCATCAGCTCCACTAAAACTTACTTGTGCCATTATGTATAGTCCTTCCCAAGGAGTCTTCATACCAAAGCTGCTATGTGCCATTAACCCTATTTTTTTGCCTCTCAAGTGAATCACACCGAGTTCTTTTTTTTTCATGCTCTGGACAATTCTCTGCCTTACAGTATTGTATATGCATTTCAGAATTTATTTCAGAAGAGGTTCATCAAATGTACATGCAAAACATGGTTGTGGATGCTACTGCATCCTCTATTGTGTAAGGTTGATTTTCCTTACTGTATTTATTTTAATGATTTTTTGCACTCTTCTATGACAGGTTGGAGAAATGTTCAGGGAAGGTCTCAAGACGAAAGAAGACCCCCCAGCTGAGGCAGTTAGTCGTGGTGTGCGCATAAGGTATCAAACAATCCAAAAGGTGACAGACAGTGTGAAGGCAATAGCATTGTGCCACAATGTTACACCAACCTACCCTGAGAGTGATATCAGTAGTAATGCAGAAGTAGACCAGGACCTCTCAAGATCTGGTGTTCGAGACTATCAGGCATCCAGCCCTGATGAAGTAGCTCTGGTACAGTGGACTGAGCAAGTTGGTCTCGCTTTGATTCAAAGGGATTTGAATAGAATGACTCTTCGTGCTCCTGATGGCAGCTTCATGCATTATTCAATTCTACAGCTGTTTCCCTTCACTTCTGAAAGCAAGAGGATGGGCATTATCTTGAAAGTATGTTACCTACCTCATCCTACTAGTTCGTCTGACCTTTGAAATATCCTCATTCACTATGTAGGTATTACTGCTAAACATTTTAAAGTGAAGCATAAAGGCTGGAAATGAAATTGAATATAAATTTTACCAGGGAAAATTGAAGAAATAAATTTGGTGGAATATACCAAGTGGCCATTGCAAGACTTCTCCAACTTCTGGCAGGCATGCAAAAATCTACATGTATAGGAACCTCAACTTTGAAAATGAATTTGTCACAATAACAATTGTCCCTTTCCATTGAGAGCCACTTTTCTGTTTCTTTTGAATCTTACAAGCATTCACCTACTTGATTGTCTTTCAAGGAGGAGGAAACAAGTGAGATAGTGTTTTACCTGAAAGGAGCAGACATGGTGATGTCATCCAAAGTCCAGTATAGTGAATGGCTGGATGAAGAAATTGAGAACATGGCAAGAGAAGGCTTAAGGACCTTGGTTGTTGCTCGTAAGGTCCTCACGCCTGAGAAATATGATGAATTTGCTGTGAGTTTTGAATAATTAATTTCACATAGTTTCACATATTATTATGTGAAACTATGTGAAATTAATTATTATTCTGCTTTACCCAATTTATTCTGCCTTCTGATGACTCCTACTTGAAGAGTGTTTGTTCCCAACAGAAACGATACCATGGAGCAAAGCTGTCAACAACTGAAAGGCAAGCACGAGTTGATGCAGTGATAGAAGGACTGTTGGAGAAAGATATGGAACTGCTCTGTGTCACAGGGGTTGAGGATAAACTTCAAGAAAATGTCAAATTAACCCTAGAGCTTCTCAACAATGCAGGAGTCAAGGTCTTCATCATTTAGCCAAATATTTATAGTCAATTTTTTCCCAGTTGTCCCTTTCTGATACTGAAGGATTTCCTGGCCCCTTTACTGCACATTCAGGTTTGGATGCTCACAGGTGACAAACTAGAAACAGCTGCCTGCATAGCCAAGAGTTCCTGCCTGGTCTCTCGCAAGGAAGAATTGCACTTTTTCCCTAAAGTCTCCAATCGTACTGAAGCACATCTGGAACTGAATGCATTCCGAAGGAAAAGTAACTGTGCACTTGTAATCACTGGCTCATCGCTTGAGGTACTTTGCTATTTTCATAAAGTGCTTAGTTTGTAATCACATTACATCACCTGAGTGAAGAGAGTGAATATCTTTATTCAGGTCTGCCTACAATCCTACAAATCTGAAACACTTGAACTGGCATGTGCCTGTCCAGCAGTGGTTGTGTGCCGTTGCTCACCAACACAGAAAGCACAGGTTGTGGAGTTAATCCGGGAGCACACCAGGAAGCGAACTGCTGCCATTGGTGATGGGGGGAATGATGTTTCCATGATCCAGGCTGCTGATGCTGGTATTGGCATTGTTGGCAAGGTAAGTATATTGTTGGATTGCTTCCCAAAGAAAACATAATGCAAGTGCAGCATCTCCGGTCAGCCTCTGTACTATTGTACAAACATAATTAGATGAACTACCTCTCCTGTCTGCCTGCATTGTAGCTTTCCATGTGAAATTTTCATATTAGACCATATGTGAAATAATAATATATTTAGCCAGTCCAATATATATAGGGACATATATGAACATATATTGGAATTAAGATTAGAAAATTTACCTAACATATATGGGGTATGACAAAAGTCATATACAATCATATAAGAATAAAATACATGGCCCCATACATTCTCAACATCTTGGCTCATATAATTGTATCATTTTTGCCATGTCATACCTTATTTCATATATGAAGTTAAACATGTCCATCCAGTACTGGCCAAAATAATATCACCACTAATGTTTGAATGTAAAATTTTAGGGTTTTTCAATTTAATCTAGAATGCCATTATTTCCAACAAAGTATTATATTTTATACTTGACTACTGTTCAGTAAGAACATAAGCTCGATAAATCTAATTTCAATAATGACAAACACACCATAATAATGTAAATGGAGACCTTTGAGTTTCAAAACTTCTTGAATTCACTGCAGCATAGATTCTATCAATCTTGAACAAAATAATGGTGTTATTTCTTGAGTTCAGACTTCTTTAATGACCTGTTGAAGGTGCTGAGCAGATACTGGATTGCACACTGCAACCTTTCACAGCAATTCTGAGTTATTTAGAGGAATACATTGTGCTTTCCTAGTATTCTTGCTACAAAACCCTACATAAAAAGGTTTATTCTGTTTCAGGGAACAGTAAATTGAAGCTAGTAGTTTTTTTGTCTCTCAGTTGGATTCATATTCACAGACCATTAAGAGTACTTTCCTAGACTACTTATCTTAGCAATTTCCCCTAACATGATGAGCTTGCCACAGCTACTTTTTTTGATTGGCACAGGATTTCATGGAGGCAAAATTGTGCTTTGGAGTTTGTAGAGTCAGATTCCCTCAATTTAACGTCAGTGTTTTGATGACATCCTGAGAAATCAATGGCTTAATTACAAGGAAGAACAGAAGGTGGATGTGTAGCTAAAATATAGTTTGTGTTTAGGTCTTATAGCACCCAAGAATGTCACCTCAACATTTATTGTTTCTTGCAGTGCTAGTTTATTCTTGTTATCCTGTCTTTTAATGGAACTTGGATGCTTTTCCAGGAAGGACGTCAGGCTTCCTTAGCAGCTGATTTCTCTCTCACTCAATTCAGCCACATTGGGCGCCTCTTGCTGGTGCATGGACGTTACAGCTACAAACGTACAGCTGCATTGAGTCAGTTTGTGATACATCGAGGATTGATCATCTCTGTGATGCAAGCAGTCTTCTCTGCTGTTTTCTTTTTCTCATCTGTTGCTCTCTATCAAGGCATCCTCATGGTTGGGTAAGTTCTTACCTTCATCTTGTGGTAGTGTATAGCTGTTGCTTTTCTGATTGTGGAAGTCCTAACTGCATGCCACTGTTACAGGTATGCAACTCTCTACACGAACTTCCCAGTGTTCTCCCTTGTACTTGACAAAGATGTCACTCCATCTGTGGCACTCACATACCCAGAGCTTTACAAAATGCTGTCAAAGGGCAGGTCTCTATCCCTAAAGACATTCTTCATATGGGTGTTGATAAGTGTATATCAAGGTATGTGCTTTGTTGTGTTCCCCCCCCCNCAGCAAGAGGCGCCCAATGTGGCTGAATTGAGTGAGAGAGAAATCAGCTGCTAAGGAAGCCTGACGTCCTTCCTGGAAAAGCATCCAAGTTCCATTAAAAGACAGGATAACAAGAATAAACTAGCACTGCAAGAAACAATAAATGTTGAGGTGACATTCTTGGGTGCTGTGATCATCTCTCTAGCTCTACTCCTGTTTGAAGCAGAGTTCATCCACATTGTGTCTATCAGCTTCACAGCTCTGATTTTTACTGAGCTTGCCATGGTGGCGCTGACAGTATGTCGCTGGCACTACTTGATGGCTGTAGCTCAATTGCTCTCCCTCATCACATATATTGTTTCCATGTTTTTCTTCACTGACATCTTTGGTGAGTCATGTCTTCCCTGACTGGTACCATGTCTTTGATAGTTAATAAGTCTTAGTTTGATCCAGTACAGTGAAGCCTACTTCCCATCAGGAAATGGAGAAGTAAATACAGTAGGTGTCGCTTATTGTGATCACATGGGTGCACGAAGAACTTGATTACATTAACTGGCTGATAACAATATGCAGCGATCGCCAAAGATTACCCTGCCCATCTTATGATGAACAAAGTAAGGAATAAAACCTGAAAACATGTTAGTTGAAAATTTATTTCCAATTTAATGGTTCATTTGGTAAGATTAATTCATTTCAAAAAGTCTGCACGAATATAAAATAATATACCTGTAATAATAAAAATTGCGTCCTGTATGATACAATATGCAAATATTCAAATCAGGATGCATGGCCAACTTGCCTCATCGCTGGGAATTTTGAAGAAATTTATCAATTTTTTTTTTGCTTAAAGTCTTTTGTGATAATTTCTTCCAGTCTTGATTCAAGTTTTAAAAAAGTTTGTGGTCACACGCAATCCACTTGGGTTGATTTTACGAATTGGGTAGAAGTTGTTTATAACAGTAACCGGCAGAGTTGATATTATTTGCCAAAAAAAATTTAATGGTCAATATAGGATTTGGTTTTTGGTTTTCGTGTTTTGATAAAAAATACATGGCTGACAATATTAACCAGCGATAACAATAAGCGGCACTCATTACAGTTAATTTACCAAAGCAATTAATAACATTTTCAATGGTCTGATGAGGGAAAAAATTTCATGACAAATACCCGTATTTACTCGTGTATAAGGCGCCTTTTTTTAATTCATATTTTATTGTGTTCGATGAGGGAGTGCGTCTTATACTCGAGGGGAAAAATTATCATTTTCAAGAAAAAAAATTTTTACCGTACCTATAACTCATTGGTCACTTATTGAAGCGGAAACAGTGTCTGCAGTTATTCAGAACAGGGGAAATATAATATTATAATAATAAAACAGTAAATAGGGAGTGGCTGCGTCGATTCGCGGACTTCATTCGGTGTCGGAATCAGAATCTGAGGTGTCTGGCAGCGTGGTAAATTCATTCGCGGAGCTTTCATCCTCCTCCGAGGGGCCGTTCCAGAGACAATTATTTCTCATAAAAAATTTTGAGCCGCTGAGGTTTTCCGGCGAAGAGAAAATTCAACTCGCTTCATGAATCGCCTCCTCATGATGCATCGAATTTTCAATGGGAGATCCCGTTTGCTCTTGCAATCGTACGGGTTCGCGTCTGGATCACTTTAGTTTTACACATAGACCATCCTTTCGAGGCCAAAAACCGGCAAACAGCGCCATAAAAGAGGCGAAATGTTTTGGCGGTATGCTTCATCGAGGATTTCACTACAGAAGTACGGACTCACTCTTTCACGTATTCAGCCACTTCCTTCTTGATTACCGGAAATGGTCCCTTTTTCCCCACGAAAGGCCCTTCAAAGCCCGGCTCAATTTCGCCTTCACCTCCATCCGCTTCCGTATACAGCTTTCCTCCATGTCATACGACCTATTGCACGGATGCCCAACTCTATCGCTTCCTGAATCACATTGATTTCTCTGCAGCTGTGTAACTTCGTCGTACATTTCCATCCATTTTCACGGATAATAAAACGAACGTTAGGGATACTGATGGATGACTGACCGACCTCACGACCTGCTTTACTCCTTATTCATCTTCCTTGTCCGACACTTTTCGCTACGAAATAGAGGGGTGCACCTTATACACGGGGAATTTTTTTTTAAACACAAATTGGGACCTCAAAAGCGGGGGTGCATCTTATACACGGTGGCGCATTATACCCGAGTAAATACGGTATATATATTGAATTACATTAACCCATTGGCTTATGAAACTGGCAATTTGCCAGCCACTATAGTGAAGCCCATTCTTATGAAACTGGTGATTTGCCAGTTGTACAAGTAAAGTGAGAACAATTTCTTGTGAAATTTCCATGAAATATTGTGACGCCTAAAAAAATATGAAATGATCAAGCCAGAAAACTAAATTTAAAAAAACATAAGTCTGGTGCAAATTTAGTGCTTGGAAATTAATAAGCCAATAGGTTAATTCTGGTTTTTGCATTTCACTAATACCATCATATCCACTGTAGACAGGTTTTTTTAAGTTGCCATGACATACATTTTGTGATTCACAAGATTTATTATATATGTTATATGACCTGATTCCTATTTCCATTTGGGTTCCCATAGATCCAAACTTCTTATGGAGTGTGGAATTCCTGTGGAAGACAATTGTCTTGACAGTTGTCAGTTGTGTTCCTTTGGCCATGGTCAAGTTCATCAAGGGAAAGATATCACCACCCACTTACACCAAACTATCCCAGTGAGGAGATGGAATACATTATGTGCATTGATATTTGTACTGAGTCAAGAATGTCAGACTACCTGATCCAGCTATTCTTGCACCTCAATACAGATAGACAGATTCATTCCCTCCAATTCCATTCAGCCTAATTGGCAGTGTCATTGGGGTTATTGCCAACCAAATAATCTTCCTGAGAATTCTCTTCATTCTTGTATTTATCTGCTCTCTGCACCCACTTGAGTTGGCACACCTTGTTACCATGAGATTTTTGCACCATTTTCATGGGAATGGTTTCACACATGTTTGACTTACAATGGATTCATCACTCTAGCATATTTTGCTGAATTGTTGTTTTCCTGTGGCATTTTTTGGCTAATAGCTTTTTTGAAATGGTATTACTACAATTCCGTGCTTTTGCATCTGGAAATAAGTTATTGCATGTCAGGAATTTCTCTTTCCTTATACTTTCATGCTTGCAATTATATCATCAATGCATTATATGTCATAATTCATCATCATGTGACATATGCTCCTCTTATATATTTATATTATGGTTTCCAAGGATGTCTGCTTGTGGAAGACATAACCACAATGGCAATCATTGATCCCATGTGCAACTCTGTTGTAGATCCATTATTGTAGGACGTGTGCCCAACACTTTGGGGGATATTTCTGAGTTAACCTGGTTTACAGACTTTCTACAATTCCACCATCATGCAATCTCATATCTTTTAACATGGCACTTCACATGGTCATCATGTACAAGGCAAGGTCTTTAGTCTGAGTCAATTCACTGACTGTTATGTCCGAGGGATTGTTTGCCCTATGTCTTGAGCTGAAGCTAGCAGGTAACTAGCTAGTTATGGGCCAATGTGTATAAGTAAGCATCATTCTATGTTCATAGGCCTGCAATAGTGTCAAAAGATGTAATCATGGCTACCTAAATAAAGCATAGCCTAAGTATAAGCTCATCTATTTCAAATCAAAATATTATTTTTTGTGTCACTGAATAATGCTGAATAATGCCATTGTCTGTTACAAGAGTAAAGTTATCTTAATCTTTTACTGGTCCCTGTATCATGTCGGTTACAATCTATCCAGTGCAACCAATTCTAGAAACTAATTAACTCTTGCACTGGCAGGCAAAAATTTAAATCTCCAACCTCCTACTGGGAGGCATCATTCAAGGAAGCATTAGCATCTCCTGGGTGTCAGGAGATGCCAATGCCAGTGAAATGGTTAAGCTGTTTGATGACCAGATTGACTAGATACATTTCCCAAGCTCATACTAGCAGAATTGGTTAACTTGGTTTCTCACTCAAATGTGGCTGTGAATAACCTCAAGCAGCCCAAAGATTTTGCTTAAAGATTGAGTGTGTGACTTGACCCTTGAAGATACAGTATGATGATGGATAAAATATTCCAGGATACCTGTGCTGATACTCATTGAACTATTCCTTTGTTGCCAGTACCAGGTATGAAAGTCAACATCTTTTTCATGTTCAAATTCCCAATTATGGTCAAAGGCTTGACCAACAATGTGATCAAATTTTCTTTCCTGTCCAAATGACATTTCAAGTTGCTGTATTAGATTATGTGTTCTTCTATGTTCCATGAGGATTAATTTATGCTGCACTGTCCTTAAAATATTTCTGGAGGCACATTGAAATTTTCCCATGTGATGCATAAACCATGAGGTTAAAGTTAGTATTGGCTGCTTGATGTGTTATCAAGATATGGAGGTCGACCTAGTCCTCTGTAATTTTTCCTTTTTTTGATTTTATGGCCATCCATGTTTCATGTCATCAGAATGGCTAAGTTTGAGTAGTTCTTCAATAGTTGCCTGTGTTATTCAGTTTGGTAATAAAAACTATTTTCAGCAGAAATAGCCACTGCATGTGACTGAAGTTATTAGAAGGTTCTCTGACTGATCCCCATGATTCCCATTTAGGGAATCCAAAGCATGATGTTACAGATAATGTCAAACTAGAGGTGTACTGCTCAGAGGGGACACAACAATTTGAGTCTCTTGATCAGATTGAGTCATCGTGGAACAAGGTTATTCTTTCAATATGCATGCTGCAGATGTGACTAAGAGACAAGGAGATATGGATGCCAAGGAAGACACCAGGGACATGATTACTCCATCTGATGTGGAAGGGGAGGTGACTGCTGAAAATATCCCCAGAACACAGAATGCCCCCGGAACCCACTGGCTGTTGGCGTCCTTCATGGTCGTCAATGCAGCTTTGGGTGCTGGACTCTTGAATTTTCCTCAGGCATTTGATCATGCTGGTGGCATCAAGGCTGCCATAATCATTCAAGCAGTAAGTGTACCATGGAGGTCTTGCACTTATTCATCTCCCCTTCTCATTCCTCTGGCACAATGAATTCATTTTAACTCTGCTTCCACAGGTCCTACTTGCTTTCATATTTGGGTCCCTCCTACTTCTTGGTTATTGTGCTGAACAGACACAACAAAAGACCTATCAGGGTGTGGCAGGTCTCTGTGGGAAAAGATGGCAATATTTGACCTCCATCCTTATTGGTCTCTATTGCTATGGCACATGCATCACATTCCTGGTTATCATAGGCGATCAGATTGACAGAGGTAAGATGAAGTTTACTTCATGCCTGCTGTGAATGTTAGTATCTTGATTTCCATCTGTCTCCTCAAATGCCGCAATGTCATATCATATATTCCAGCACTGGTTTCTCTATGGGGTTCAGATTTCTGTCACCATTGGTTCTTAAATAGAAGTTTCACCATCACAGCATCATCCCTATTCTTAATTGGACCTTTCTGCTTCCCAAAACGAATTGATTTCCTCAGATACATCAGGTGAGCTCAGTTCCAGTTATTTCATAGTTGTATTGTAATGTTGCTACTGAGTAGTGAAGGTCAAGGGGGAAAATCTCTTTGTGATGTTCGTTATCATGTACCTGCTGCTTATGGTCATTACAGCTCACTGGGTGTGCTTGCTATAATTTATGTTGACTTCCTCATCATCTACAAGTATTATGAGGGAGCTGGAAGCCTACACCCAAATCATCCTTTCCCAAGACAGACAAAAAAGGCCTGGACTGCTGTATTCCTTGTAGTGCCTGTGATATGTTTTGGTTACCAGGTGAGATTGTATTTAAAGTCTACTCTCAAAAAAAACTTCATCCCTCTAATTTGTTAGTCACTTAGCATTTTCATGTAATTTTTTCCTTGGTTTAGTGTCATGTGAGTGCAATTCCCATATACTCTTGCATCAAGAAGAGGAGTGTTTCCACATTTGCAAGGAGTATTGGATTAGCTTTATCCCTCTGCATTCTCACATATTCCCTTGCTGGAACTTTTGGTTACCTCACATTTGGGTCTGGAGTGGCCAGTGATATCCTCATCATGTATGATGCCAAGGATCCCTTGGTCATCATTGGTATCACTGCATTGGCCATCAAAATGTACACCACATACCCCATCCTCTTGTTTTGTGGCAGGTGAGGCACTCAATCTAAGTGTTGAACCGTCATGACAGTCTTTCCCAGGTTGGATCCTCATCTCATTTTCAGAGAAGCAATACTAGATCTTTATTATGAGGTGTACCCTCTTGCAAGTCTGTCTGGGAACAATCAGAAACATCGAATCTTGGTGGCAACCACATGGTTCCTGACATCTCTTCTCTTGGCTGTCCTCATACCAAACATCACTGACATCATTGACTTCCTTGGCAGCCTTGCAGCTGTTTTCATATTCATCCTTCCTGGTGAGCCAAGAGCCTTGGTCTAGGTCTGCTGTCTTTTGATTATCTCAAAAGTCCTTGCTAATCATGGATGATGTAATGTGCTTTTGTTCCAGGACTCTTCCTCCTGCATATGACTTTAAATGGAAACGATCATCCAGGAACTTTTTCATGGTGGAAAATCATATTGGCATCAGTCTCCATCACCCTTGGAACGTTTTTATTTGGCTTGGTATTTGTGCAAGCTGTTGAGGAAGACCTGTCTCATCGTTCGGAAGGCATCCAGTTATGCATCTGATTCTGTGTATGAATGTGTGCTGAAATGCACATTACTCAGGTTGTTAATTTTGCTATGTATGTGCCTGACTTGATCACATGATCTGATGATACTCCAGTTTAGACAAAATAAATTTGAAATTCAATTTGTACACTTTCAGTTGTCTTCAAGTTTCTTTGTTGCTAAATGTCATGCTTGGAAAGTATTTAACCCATTTGAGCAAAAATTGTTATGAGGGTGAAACTGCTAGTCCATGCTTCTGAAACTAAATAAATAGGTCAGGAGGACGTTGGCACTTGCCACCTCGTCCCCCATATGTTGCCTCCTACCCCCCTTCCTCACACTTTTGGTGGGAGAGACAGACCAAGCAGTGGCGGATACAGGGGGGGCGGGGGGGGCGACCGCCCCCCCTATGGCCAGGTTAGCATTTGATTTATTTATTCAAAGTATTATCTGCATTAAATTTTATCGGAGCCATTGAAATAGACACTCAAGTTCTTACCCCGGACGAAAAATTTAAAAAAGGCGAAAGGACGAGGAATGGTGGTAGGCGGGGGGGCTAAGAACTTGGGAACCGCCCCCTATGAAAAATTTCTGTATCCGTCCCTGAGACCAAGAGGCATTACACTCGAGGAGAGATCATGTGTCCGGTTCGAATGGTCATCTCGCCCTTTATGCGATTGTGATGACACAGTCACCTAGTGATTGTGTCTCAACTGGAACGCAATGAATTGTGAAGACTTCGCGCTTGACCTTGCCATGACGGGAGCAGAAGTTCCTCGTGCTGTCATCGTTGAGTGCTGGATTTCGTCGACTTCCGTCGCCTATCTGCCCCTGCTTCCAATCTTCCCCCCTGGAATCAAGTGCCTTCTTATCACTTTACGAGCCCGTCCTTCGGTCTTCCCTTCCGACCTTTATCTCTCGCAGTGCCCCATCGATATTGAACACAGGTAGAAGAGAAAACAAAAACAAAAACCGTCGTGTTTCCCCCCTCATCATCACGTCTCTATCGCAAAAATGACTGCCTCCAGTTCGGAAAACCGCAGAAAAGTCTGGTTTCCACGAAAGCACCTTAAAATATATCCATTGAGCATATCAACCTTCTCAAGACTAATCGGTATTTCCAGCTTCGAGCGACCAAATGAATGTTTCCATCGGAGTGGACGCTCGTATGATGCCGAGTCAGTGGAAGTCATTCGTCCAGCCAATGGGGACCACCGGGACGAATGGCCAAGCATTGCGGGCTATTGCTGTGGATTTCCCCTCGGCAGGAATCAGGGCCGTTTCTAGGGGCGGGCGAGGCGGGCGATCGCCCGGGGCGCAAGCGGGGTAAAGGGGGAGGAGGGGGGCGCCATTGGAACTTCTTACCCTGGGCGCCAACACGCCTAGAAACGGCCCTGGCAGGAATCTTCGAAGGGGATGAGCGAGATCTCGATAAGGCTCGCGCTGGGCTCTTTGTTCTGTGACCGCTACCGTCGTGGATCGCCTTGCCGGTCGATCTTTGTCCCCTATACGGCCTTATGGAGACGAAACAACGGAATGAGGGACAAAAAAAATTGTGGGGAAAAATGATTGAGGTGATTGAAGATTTTGTGCGGTTGGAACATGGATGGACTGGTCATAGTATGCAAATTTACGAGATTTGGCGTCTGGCGTCTTTGGTCCTTCCACCCACCCACCGATTGGAGAAGATAAGTGCCGGTACTCATCTTCTCCAATTAGTATTCCGTAGTACTCTTCGCATCGCCGTCGTTCCGAAGCGGTTCGAGGACGGGGAGTCCTCGAACCGCTCGAACGAATTTGGCGAATTCAGGCCATCGCTCCAAGCCGCTACGAAAAGTGCATCCCCCGGGAATTCCCAGAAACCTGATTGACGGATTCCTTGTTCCCCAAACCTGCCAAAGAATCTCGGCCTCAATTTAGCATCCCTCGGGATCTGGGGGGGGGGGAACCGATTCACTCCCATCGCTGTCGACCCCAATCAACGACGAAGGTGAAGGTGAACCTCGTTCCAGTGATTTCTCTACAACGAATCTGCACCCACATTTTTCGTCGTTCGAGGCTGCCGGAACTTCGACGCGGATGCCCTGCACAGACGGCGGAACTTCGACGCGGAAATCCCCTTTGGACTCAAAATGAAAGACTCCATTTCATAGATTGTCGTGCGCAACTTTTTTTTTGCGGATGTTAGTGCCTTGCAAAAAGAGAGCTGAGATGAGGAAAGCTCTTCAAGTTTTTTTTTTTTCCAGAGGAGATGTAAGTGCATAGTGGTGATTCGGGCACGGATTTTCCTCTTCAGCTTTGAAGAGAGAAAAACTGGGGAAGGGAAGCAGAATCCTTCTGCACCCCGCTTCAGTCCTCGAAGAAAAGTCACGAAGTCCGTCTCTCCACCTCCAGTCAATCGAAAACCTCCAATTAAATTGATCTCCCCATGACTCCAAGGCTAGGAACAACGAGTACTTACTCGAGCCAAGGTTCCGAGAAAACGAATTCCAGCCCTTAAACGATGTACGTATTTGTTCCGCCCACGTCGTCTGGATTATCATTATTTCTAATTTTCATGAAGTGCAATCTGTAGAGTTACTGGGGGAACACGGGCACCTCTTCGTGTTTCCTCATATCACTACTGTTCGTGCGAAAAATCCGATTTGTCGCCGATGTTCCTCATGTAGTGGCGCGCCCTCTGTTACAAGAACATTTTCGCGCTCTTAGACTTGTTTTGCGTCATCAACATTTAAAATGGTGCGGCCTTCCAAATTTTTTTGTGACGAATTCTCTTACTTAGGAAGCGTCGTTCATCGTCTAGCAAGAGAAAAGGTCACTACCTTTTCTCTATCATCCGGTCCGCCAGGCAAAATGTACAATTCCAAATATAAAAAAAAAACAGCGGTGGGGGGGGGGGTCTCCCCGGCTGAAAGAGAGAAAGAAAATCGCTCGGATTCCTTCGCCCCATCCGAGACAGCCCCCTCCTCCCCTGATTGAATTGTGTCCCGGCAGGGAGGGAAACGAGACAAGAATGTGCGATTGAGCACGAGAATGTGCGAATGAGCACGAGAATGTGCGAGGCGGGAGCCCAGAAGGACCAGACTGCTCTGGGGCGAGGCCCAGCCGAACGCCTTCTCCTTTCCTCATCTCCACCGCTTTTTTTTCGCGTTGGTTTTTGTTTCTGTTTGTTTTTGTTTTGTTTTGTTTTTTTTTTTTGAAAAGGTATAGCATTCAAGAAGTTCGATCTGTTGCGATTGACTCGACCATAGCGTTCGTACTTATGTGGATGTTAGATATTTTTTAGTGCCATTTGACATAATATGGACATGAAAAATTTTTTTTTAGAAGCGCTTCGAAAGGCATACATGAGGCAGGAAACAGCAAGGCCTGTCGCATACAGTTCCATGAGAATCGCGTTGGGTTGCCACCGAACCGGATCGCTTCTTCTGCCGAGAATCCGAGTTACCTCGGAAAAATATTGCTTCCTGTGGCTGTGCGGAACCCGATTTCGAATTGCAGAGACCCCATTTGCATTGCAAACTGTTCGCTCGTGTTAGCCACTTCACAGCCCGCTTTGCCCTCTGAGCATTCGGGGGGGGGGGGGAATGGGCAGGTGGTTCATGTTTCTTCATCATTGGAAATGTGTTTTTTTTTTTTCAGCTTGCCCGACTCCCCCAGACTTACACTGTGCTTCTCCGATATTTCTTGAAGGTCCAAGTTTTGACGGTCCACATGGTTTTACTTTTTTTTAAATTCAGCCTCGTCACAGAAGACGATTGCGCCTCTTTTCAGCGAACGTAACATTTAAAAAGAATTAAGTAAATTATTATAACAATAAAAACCGAGAGAGAGCAAAAAGAAAAATAATAATAATTCGGACCATCCTCATCCTGCCACGACGGGACGAACCATCGCCGCATCTCCGCCGGCCGTCGTTAGCCTCATTCGATTCATCAGCGCCTTGTTTGCCAACGCCCTCCCGGGCCGAGAGGACTCCGTCGAGATTTCTCCTCGTGTGGTTCTTGTTTCGATCGAGCGTATTTCTGTCTCTGCCGCGATTTCATGCAATCGTTGGAACGATATGCGGGGCGAATGCGGATGCCAGGCGTCGATCCTCACTCCGTCGATCCTCACTCACGGATGCCAGGGCGATATTTCTCGCATCTGCTCGCGGGAAAGAGACTCGCTTTCGATCGCGCTGTCCCCCCGGTAGGCGACAGTTTTCGGACGGGACTCGCGTCGTTACGACAATGAAAGCTCCGAGTTTTCTTCGACGGCGACCAGAATTCGAAGACGAAGCAGGGTGCGTCGAGCGGAACCGAATGGATGTGCCGTAGATGTATGTCCAGGGTGTGTCCATGAAGGTACGGCCCGAAAAATGATCGGTCGTGATTCAGTGGCAAAGTGCTTCGTTGCCACGAAACCCCCCATGCAACGACGCCCTGCCTTTACTCTTTTTTTTGCAGGAAGTTCTTCTGCTGGAAACATCCGTGTGAGTCCTGCAGGCGTCCACCGTCTCGCCGACGACACGATTCCCAGCCCACGTCTTCCCTGACGTTTCCTGCGTGCGGTTCCTTAGTTCCTCAGGTCTGTCGCATCGTACACTCTCTTGGAATGCACCGTTTCTTTCTTCTAACCGTAATAGTGAGGGAATTAGGTCCCCCCCCCCCCCCCCCCCCCCGTGGTGTTGTGGACGAGGGGACCCAATTCCCTCGGCCCTCTCTCCCTCTCTCACCCCTATGGACTCCGTCTGGGATGACGCTGAAAGAAACGGCGCATGCCAAAGAGACACGCGCGATGCGACAGACCCAAGGAACCACATGCAGGAAGCATGCCCTCATGCAGGAAGCATGCCCTCATGCAGGAAGCATGCCCTCATGCAGGAAGCATGCCCTCACGCAGGAGACGGCACGTGGCATCAGCCGCGATTTCGTCTGTGGCCAACGCGTCCGCGTCCGTGGGAACAATTTACAAATAATTTACGTTGAGCATTTTTTTTTTGCACAATTCTAAAAGACGATGACGACCTCCGCCTGCTTCGATCATTCGAATCTTCGAGGCGATCGAAACTTATTATCATTTTTTTTTGCACTAATTTTTTGCCCGTTGCGCCATTTTCTTCCGTCGGCCTCGATTCGGCGAATCAGGGGATCCTCCGATTTTCGCGGTTTTTTTTTATTTATTAAATTAGAAATTCGTGAGACTTCGAGACTTCGCTTCCACGTCCGTCGACGAATTTTCCGCTAAATTTCCATGAATTTTCCGCTGTTGTCCGTTGCATTCTTACGGCTTTGCAGTTGAACCCATTTCGTCTCAAGTTCGCGTGCCAATTTTTTTTTTCCGCCGGATTTGAGCGAACCTCGGACAACTTGCACCAGTGCACGGCGTCGCGACGCTCGCGAAACTCCGCTCATACCGAGTCGGATTTCCGCCTATCTGCTGGGGGAAAAAAAAAACCTAATGGAAAGTATTTTCGGAGGACACGAGCATGTGAAAGTTCGCGTTTTGAAAGCCAAAAAAAAAAGTTGCATTTTGTTTCATATCTTTCTAATCTCATTTTTGAAACACGTAAACTCGGAAAAAAAAAGTATTTAAAATGAACTTTTTTCACTTTTTTTGCGAGTGATCCCTTTTTTTTTAGGCAAAAGACCAAGTTTATAATGATTAATTACGCTGTCGGATCGAATATTTGAGGCATGAATGCCATAATCAAGAATCATTTTCTGGCCATGTCGCGACGCAGCCATTCAGTGGAGTTCTCCAGGCTTTAATTTCATTTTGTAAAAGGAATTTGTATGGCCTCCGGAGTTTTTATTTGCAGTAAAAAAAATAAAAAATAAAAAAGGAAACAGCATTAAAAATGGAACTCATGGAGAGATTTGAGCAAACTGAAATTGACAAGATTCCCCCCCCCCCCCCCCC